GCACTTTTATAAAGCTCGAAGTATCTCAAGCGATCCATTTATTTGAATAATTCCAAGCTTCCGTAACAAAAGAAATATCAGCGCTTGTTGAAGACTAAACGGGATCCAATGGTGAGATTTCATATAACAATGAGCCTTCAAGGCAACTACAATGAAGACGTTTTTCATTATACTTGCGAATTAAAATCGGGACAGCTCGTTGGTATTGTAAAGAATTACATTTAAAAAAAAACTTGGTGATCTTACACACTGACTTACTTCTCTAATTTTTATTAGATGAATACGTTATGTATGTTCTATGTTTTATAAAAATTCTTTAAGTATTTTGATTTATATTTTATTTAATACTAACTTTCGTCCGCGACGCCGTCCGCGTGGTATTAAAAAACAAAACCAATTAGCCTATGTGTTCTTCCAGACTATCCGCTACATCTATACTAAATTTCATTGAGATCCTTTCAGCAGTATAGGCTACAAACTCTAACAAACATCCAACCATCCATCTAAACTTTCACATTTATAATATTAGTAAGAAGTAAGATTTAATGTTCAGATTTATAAATGAATGTGTTTTCACAGCTGAACGTATTCCTTCATAGCCATCTAAAATAACTAGCAATGAAAAGTATGTAACTTACGTATATTTGTTCGAATGTATACAAATGTAAAGAGAAAAATTCACACCACTTCTAGTATTAATAGTGACGGAAGACGACAGTTCGTACCGATGGTCAATCGTAATCGATTCTCATTCGTCAGCTCTAATTCCAATCTTCTATCTCCATCAGACTAATCGTCGCGATAAATACCGTATACGAGAATCGATTCATGAATCGAGTGATTTACAGAGAATTAGCTCGTCATGTCCGTTGGAGCCCGCGTTAGCCCGCGCCTCGGCCGGCCCTCGCTTCGGACGTAATCGGTATTGGCCGATCACTCGCTCGTTAGTGGTGGACGCGGCCCATTAAGCCGGACATTGCATTTTGAATCTTAATCCGCTAAGCCTAAGATAAAATATCATTTGAAACGGCGTTGAAAGATTTTGATATGAATTTTATACTTCTAATAATTATTTTATAATAACTCTCCCACGAATGGAAATATTAAAATTTGTCATACAAAAATGTGTAACAAAATTTAAAAAGAAACCATAAAAAACCAATACTTTAAGAATAAATAATATCTTTATCAAAATATTATAAATATGAGCTTATTACGTCATTAATATCTCAAACGACAAAGAAAATATCCGCAAAGAAATCGAAAAAATATTACCAAAATTTCATTCGCGCACGCACTTGACCGATTTTAACTTTATCTCATAAAAAAGGTCCCGAGTGATATATTTCAGTCCTCGGAAAGCCATTTGAGGAGTTTCCAGAACTCCGCCACTTTTACCCTTCGCCCATAAAACTGGCTAAGTTCGTTCTATATAATTGCCACGTTTTGTGACACCGAGGAACTTTTTACAAGACCTATTTATCAGACAGCGCCCGAGGCGTTGCTTACCTCCCTAGGCTCTTTAATATTATCATTACGACTGTGTCTGCGGTAATATTTCGTTAATTATCTTACTAATCTAATTAATATTATAAATGTTAAAGTTTGGATAGAGGGATAGATGTTTGTTAGACTTTGTAGTCTAAATGGCTGAACGGTTTTCGATAAAATTATGCCAAATTTGATGATTGATGTAGAATATAATCTGGAATAACACATAGGCTATTTACTTTTGCTTTTTCTTCTTTATGCGGGCGTAAACTAGTACTTTATAACACTAGCGATCCGCTCCAAGTTCCTCCTGGTGGCAAAGAATATGTGATTCATATATTTCCTTTTTTCCATTCCCTTTCCGTTAATGTCTCGTTTGTAAGTTATGTTACTTATTGATAATACATCTTGCTAATAGTCAAAAATCTTTGAAATCTGGTCAATAGTTTTCGAGGCTTATCAATACCAACAAACAATCTAATCTTTGTATAACCTTTTAGTTAGCCTAATATTAGTCCCTTTCTTATAAGAAGAGAATGGGAAGAGGAAGTGGATTTGACGGTGGAGGAGATGCATAGGAAGGGGAAATATCCTCATTATGTGCGTCTCCTCCTCCGTCGGATAATGGTAGGCAACGCATCTGCAATTCCTGATGTCTATGGGCAGCGGTCGCTTCGCTATTTTGGCGGATTGAGGTGGCCGCTTGGTCGCTTGCCACCTTATGTCATAAAAAAAAGTATATGTATTAAATGAATACGGTTTATTTATTTTTTTCATCTATGTATTTTTTAATATCAGGGATAAATAAAAAAGAATTCTACTAAAATCAGAAAAATATCAAAGAGTTTCAAAAACATATGTCAAAATGTCCTTAGGGAATTTTGCGAAATTACTTTTACAAGCATAGTAAAAGAGTACAATGTAGAAGACAAATGTTAAACATTTTAAATTGTCTGAACTTACTTTTGATACGTAAAATATTAATGTATTCTAATATTATAAAGAAGAAAGATTTGTATTTTTCGATTTTTGTATGTATTGAAATAACTTAGAAAATACGGGATTTCGAAAATTCTTGCACCATTAAAAGTAATTATCACTGTAACTTAGGCTAAATTTTTACTATTTTTTTAATTTCACGCAGGCGAAGTCGCGAGCAACAGCTAGTATCCAAATAAAAAGCTGTAACTACCGCGAATTCAGTTGTTATTGCTTGTTTCTCTTCATTGGCTTTATAGCCCGTAAGGATTCGATTTATTGCAATACTTTGACCCTAAGCTTCGTGGCGAGAGAACGTAACTCAACGCTAAAATAATTTCAGTTTTCTAAATTACTTCTAGTTTTGTTACAGTTCCTATTGAACTTAGATCCATTCCGAGCGTGACTGTACACAAACTTCGAACGGAATTAATTCAAACTGCCACAAATCTGAAAAAACTGCTTTCGCTTGAATTAATAAAGTCGTTAAGTGCGATCAAAAGGAAACTTTAATAAACTCCAATACCTCATATTTTAAAAACTCCGACAATTTATATACACGTAAGAATGAAATAAAAAACATAAAGTTTACACCAGCGTTTTCGTATCCTAGAATATAACAAAAAAATCACATCGATTACAAAAGTGAATAAAAAATCAATTTGAAACATATTGTTATATATATAATCATCAATTTAGTTAGACCACACATAGTTAAAAGTCAGCCTCCTTGTCGTCAAACTGCGCATGATACTTTTTTGACGTCTAATACAAATTGGTCCTTCGAGCCAGATCCATCAACAGCGGATCTACTACATCGTTGATATTGTTATAACGATGAGTACCACATTTTGCATTTCAAAACCATCGAAGCGTGTAAACACTAAAGGTTATGTGAATTGTAGACAGATCAAGGCTTACTAAAAGCGGGCGCAATTTAAAAAAACTATCTCACAACTATTGCGCGATAATTTAGTTAAAGGCCTATAAGCCCTTTCCACCCTTTTCTTAAGAGGAAAGGATGGGAAGGAAAAGTGGATTTGACGGTGGAGGAGACGCATAGTAAGGTAAATGTCCTCTTTATCTGCGTCTCCTCCGTCAATTAAGGGTAGGCAACGCATCTGCAACTGTGGATGTTTATGGGCGGCGGTCGCTTTCCATTTCAGTGGATTCAAGTGGCCGCTTGCTCGTTTGCCACCTTATGTTATAGAAAAAAAAGATTGTCAATTGTTTTACAGTTAAAAATCGAGCAGTGTCCGCACCTCCATATAAGCTCATAGGAATTAAATCGAGACTAAACAGATGCGACGGTTTAGTTCGTGCGTATCAACTCAAATCCACACTAATATGTTAATGTATTAAATAGTTTGATGTGTAATTATCTAATGGGTAGCCTTCAATTGCCTGGATCAGATGAAATGAGCGGGATCAAGTCAATAGAGCAATGCTCACAGCTGCGCTAATGAAGCTATTAATTAATATTACCGACTGATTAATTGAACAATTCGATACACAATCTCACTATATTAGAATTAGTATGGTTAATTCTACAGCCATAAAATCAATGAAGTTCAAAGGCAAATTATACTTTAGTTGTAATACAATAAACAATACGGGTTTCTTACCATGATTGAATTGTTTTAGCTCCCAATTTTTTTCCGCATCACTTCAGTCAGCCTGTCAACACGGCGGATGCAACTGTGCCGAAATATCGGGAGCTAAAACAACCCAATCGTGGTAAGAAACCCGTATCTTACGAACATTACATTTGTAAAAACCACCAGTTTAAAGTTATATAATGTCAACATTGAATAATTTCCATTGTCTAGTAGATTTTTCATGGAGATTGAGGATTATGCCATTAAGATAATAATAAATACATTAAAAGCAATGTTTCTGTTCTTAACTTAGATACCGATATTAGTTATTTACTGTTAAAGCGCGCGAACTTTCCGCCCGCACAAAGTCTAACCAATAAATTCTATTTATTACACCGATGAGCTCAAAGTGGAAGATTTAATGTGAAAAATCCCGTACCAAAACCGTCGACTGCTGGAACTAACTTACAACCGCGATCCATATTAAATTTTAAACTAACGACTCGGATTCGCGGCCGCATCGGAATTCTACAAGTACATTGCGTTCTCATAAAGAGTTAATATTTCAGCGGCGCAGACAAAGCGAGCAGTAGTCATGGTCGAAGTTTTAATTTGCTTAAACTTGTTACAAGTTGGAACGGGTCCCTAGTCGGCCGCCAAATTAGGTACAGCCGAGGACGAAAGTAGGAAGACGTTATACTGATAGTTTAATTCATGTTCTAGTTGATACTTTTTTAGTTTAGTATTCCGATTGTGAATTACTACATCTTACTTATACTTTGCTATCACATTAATATGCATTGCCTTTTACTGAGGTAATTTTATCTCTGGAAAAGAATTAAAGACATTAAGCTTCATTTCTTTTTAGAACTTCGAACTCTTAACCGATCTTAAAATTGTGTGTTCGAAATTTGAAAGTACAAAATGACTTACCGAATTTTGACTTCCTTTGATTGCCATTCCGCGTGTTTGTCGAAGCTGATGAGTATTGCTGCGATTTCCTGAAACAAATGACAAACAAAATTAACTCAAACAACCAACAATCAAATAGCCAGAGTGACGAAAAGAATTTTTTTTATTAGGAGGATTAGGTACCAGAATTCTGACGAATCGACTGCTATGCCATCTATACCTTAATAAAATACGTTGAGAAAGGAACTGCTTTCGGGACTCAACCTGTCTTCGCTAATGTCCTAATATATCGAGCTGTTCCCTTCAGCAACAGATGTTTGGGCTCCCAATTAAAAAGTGTACAATAAAAGCAAAAGTATGGGATATAAAGTATATAGGTTAAACGTGATTTTGCAAACATAAAGCGTTGACAGCGCTTTTTAATAAATTCCACACACGGTAATAAATTACGAAGTCTTCCATTTGTTCGCACCCGCAGCGGGATTTCGTACGCCTCTCTCTGTTTGTCCTTTAATTGAACAACGGTCGCTGTATGCATTATAAATGAAATCTACATTTTTTCTCGTATCTAGAAGAAGCCAAACATGTTGGAAATTTCATGTTAAATTTATAAACAAGCTGGGACCTCTTGCCTCTTAGATTTATCGCCGGGTGTGTAATCCACGCGCGGCGCGGCATACTTAAGTAGCTTGAATTAGTTAAAGAAGTGCCATTTGGTACGTTCCGAAACAGGAAGCGTTCGCCCTGACGTCCGCGCTGTGTTTAGGGAATTGGATTTTGGTTTCAACACATTTCCAACTTTGAAATGGGTGAGGTGTTTATGAATGGATTTATCTCAATCTGCAAATGAATGGACTATCATATTCTTATAAAATACTATATAACATTACTTTTTATCATCTCTGTCCTAATTATTTTCGTCCTTCATAGCCGTCAGAATATGTCTTCTAAGAGCGGGCTAACACCTTTGACTAAATTATCGCTGTTGTTCGATTGTCGATTTTTTCGCAGCCAATTCAACTGTTTAGTTGCACAACTAAAAATCAAGTAGTGTACGCATTTTCATAGGAATAAAAGCGAGACTAAACAGTTGTGCGGTAGTTTAAATCTGATTTAGTTCTAATGGAGAATGTACTTTAAAAAATAGAGTTTATTTTTTAATTATAAAAATATTGCTTACTTTAATTAACCAAATGACATATTTTTCTAGTTATGGACAATACTCATTGGGACAGTGAGAGCCTGCTCGTAAATCGTGGAGCGGCGTTTACATTGTTACTGTCAACTCCGTCTACTTCAGCCTCCAACAGAAATGATTTACTCAATTACTCATAAACAACACCGACACAAGGGCCCTTGTGAATAACACACAAGCCACCGATAAATTATGAACAAAACATTCTTTGCGTAACAAATTCGTTTGTTGCACAACCTTTTTTTGTACGTAATTTGCTATAAAATAAAATTATTCCTTTTTGTGTTTGTTGTCTGTTATTGCATGTATTTCATTGTTAAAGGAAACTACAGGTTAAATATTCAGACAGTCTGCATAAAATGTAAAAAAGTCTAAGGACCTGTCCCACCACTGGCTGATAGAGACTCAGATAGCTTAAAAATGGCGTGACTGTCAGAGGTAACAAGATCCGATATTTCCATCACATTTACACGTTAGATTGTTATTAGACACTTTACATTTTGGTGATACAGGCCAGACAGTAAGTATTTTGTTTATTAATACAAATTTCAAATAGAATTTAGGGATTTTGGACTTCGGACCAAACTAACGGATAACTAATAAAGGGAGGTCAATTTAGATGCTTCTGTTTCATGCCCACGCATGAATTAACCGAAATCCTGTAACACAACGCGAAACTAAAATACTTCTAATTGAACAACCGAATGCCCACATAGACAAACATTTTATGTTTACAAAACCCACGACGTAAATCCTCGTACATTTGTTGTTCCAATGAAATAAATTGTCTATTAATTCAATAAATTACGACAAAGTCCTTTGATATTTAAGAAAATATGGTGCGCAACAGAAATTAACTGCCTTTAGACTTAAGAACACTTAAAAAAAGAAATCAAGCATAATCACAAATTGACACATCTTACTAATGTCATACTTGCGAAAGTTTAGATGGATGGATGTTTGTTAGATTTTGTAGCCTAAACGGCTGAACGGATCTGGATAAAATTTGTCATAGATGTAGAAGATAGTCTGGAAGAACACATAGGCTACTTAATTTGTCTTTTTTTTTCCACGCGGACGTCGTCGCGGACAAAAGCTATTAATATAAACTTGTAAAATAGTTATAAGAATTTGGATTGACTATGATCGTGTCAAGAGTACTTTAAACAAAATTTCTTTTTAATGGTGTAATTAAAAAAGCGACGGAAGCGACCGTTACTTCAAACAACAATTCCAAAGCGGAGAACATTAGGGATCCTCATTAGAAGCTCCTTGGTCGTGTTCTTTTTGAAGGAATCGGGATGCGACTTATTACAGAAGAAAAGCGATTTAGAAAGAAAAGTAACAATCAAGAAATATTTTTTGATCTACAAACTAAATTGATAATTATTGATCATACTAATATTGTAAATGGGAAAGTTTCGAAGTTTGTAGCCTAAACTGCTGAAGGGATTTCGATCAAATTTGGCGTAGACGTTGCAGATAGTTTGTTAGAACAAATAAGGTACTCAATTCTATTTTTTTTTAAATCCCGAGCGGACGGAGTCGTGGGTGACAGCTACTGTATTTATAATTCGCTGATATGTGCATCATGATGTTTCCTTCACCGTAGGGACGTAAAATAAATGAAAACATGAAATTCGAAAATCGAATAACACATTTGTATATGGCGGGAAGTCAATTAACCTCCTTATCCACTGCTCTAGGAGAGGGAGATAATAATAAAACAGTAGAACGTAAAGAAAAAAGTCTATAACTGGTTAATTCAATACATTTTATTGCAAACAACTATCAATTCTATTGCACTAAATTATTTTTTTTATACCGAAACCATAATACCATGAGAGGCTAACAAATCAAACGTTGGCAACTGGCCATTTCATTCAATAAAACATATACATTTTTTATTCATTTTCTTTTTATAAATTCATATTTTAATGGCATCCTCTATGCTACCACATTAAAGTGAAACATTCCAGTATAATTCATAACAGAAACAAGAACGTCAAAGGTTTCGAGTGGAATAAACAGATTAAAAAGCAGAGTAATCATTTAAAGTGGTATATTTATGGTACAATAGTTAGTTAGCTTTACTCTAAAGACCGTACCATAGACAAACAGTGTTTAAAACACATTTTAAACATACGTCAACCATTTTACACTGTGACTTTTATTTTAAGGTGAATCATAAACACGTTGACGTCAATAATAACAAGCACTGAGATGTCTTAGGGTAATACAATGTATCATCAAAGACTGCGTACAATCTTTTTACTAATATTATAAATGCGAAAGTTTTGATGGAATATTGTTTTTTAGAACTTGTAGCCTAAGCTGCAGAACGGAATCTGATGATATTTGGCAAAGATGAAGAGGATAATCTGGGAGGACACAGGGGCTACTTACTTTTGTTTGTTTTTTCGCGGGTGAAAGCTAAGTACGGACAATTATTACTAAAAACCACTACCCCGTAAACGATATTAAAATCTACTATCGAAATATTGTCGGATGAGTTACCGCTTGTTAATGAACAAAGTGCTTAAACATTTCGGTTTCCTTCAAATACCGGCAGCCCATCAGCAGGCTTGGAATAGCATCGTAAACAGTCGACAAACGATCTTATGGAAGCCTCATAAATAAACTTAATTGTCTAAATATTTGGGAATAAACTCTCGAACATAAAGTCTAGATTTATACACGGATGGATGTTACTAGATATCTCCAAAGTGGCTCAACGGTTGTCGCTGAAGTTTAGCATAGATGTAGAGGATAATCTGGAAAAATACATGGGCTAATAATTTTTTTTAACTTGGTGCTGACAGAGTCGCGGACGACATCTACTCTATAATAATATAAAAAGGAAAGATTTGTATTTTTGTATGTATTCCATTCGATTAACGTAAAAACAGGGCCGATAAAAAAAAATTCACCATTAGAAAAGTTATCTGTGAGTAACATAGACTATATTTCTATTATTATTTTAATTTCACGCTGACAAAGTCGCGAGCAACAGCTAGTGGTAAATAAATAGATATGTTAATATCGTAGATTAAACATGCACAATTTTTAGTTCATCATAAAATGGACGTAAAAGAAAAAAAGATCCTTCATCCTTTAGAAAAATTAATTCCTCAAGCTCTAAATTTAATCTAAAAAGCAAAAACAAATGAAAATTAGATTCGACTAAAACAAATCCTAATAGAGTTACAAACGCTAGTGCACGAGTAACCATTGTGTAAATTGTCTTAATCTAAAATAAGTAACACCTTCGGTACAGTAACCGCGAAGAACACACACGCCCCCGCAATTAGGGAGCAAGATTAAACGTCCTCATTAACCCCGGTGCTTGCAACTTAAGGTGGGTTTCCATGGTACGATACTGCACTATACGCCGTAATAAAGTATCCGTGCGTCAAAAAGGTTACTAAATAATTTCAAGTCTCAAAATTAGCGGATAATCCATGACTTTTATTGTAAATAGCAGAAAACTACCAAACAGGCAACTAAAAGCGCCCCGTAAAAATTTGCAAATAAAAGGGTGCGTTATCTACCTTTAATGGACAGAGGAGAGAATACAGAAGGAAAATTCCAAAACCTACAACATCCTATTTCCCTTTCTATCCTTTTCTTTATAAAATATCCGCCACTAACAGTCTATGCATCGTGGAAGCCCAGCTTTAGTTGCGGTTAAAAGTGTATTTAATTTGTCGGTTTTAAACTCGGTTCGCTGGAGGCTGTTGAATCTAAATTGTTAAGGCTCCAGGCATTCGGTACGTACTAGAATTTCTAAACAATGGTCTTTAAGCTTCAACTTCTGCTGGATGAAAATTCTAAGCACATTTTAACGGGAAAAATCTTTAATAAAATAAAATTTCTATTAATTAGGTCACGGTC